GTCTGTACCAGCGACTGAGGTCAAGATTCTCCCATACAGACCGACCTAGCTCGGTTAACAAGATGTTTATTATATGGCTGTGTCTTAGATGCCAATTTTTTATATTCTTTGTACCTTTTTTTGTTCTAGAATGGTCTAGATGCCAGTCTAGATGGGGAAATCTAGACCACTTTCAATATTGATTTCAGCCAATCAAATTTGTGAATTTGGTAGTTCCTAGTCCTTGTGAGACACAGCCATATAATAATGTTGGTTATTATTATGTAATGGCTTGAGGCGAGAAAATATGGGTATACCGTGATTCATATAAAGTCTGTGTTACAATATATGAACTGGATTCATGGTTCACACAGCTGTTTGACTTCTCAACTTGACAACAGAGGTTTTTTTTTATACTTTTCTTTCATAATTTTGTTATTCCAACTTCAGAGACATATTCATGAAGTGAACAATGCAATACTAATACAATCTACGTTACAATACTTACAGCAATACTACTAATTATGTTTCTGTACTTACAATAAGTTAAAAATTCCTTTGTGTTGGGTTCAATACTACTGATAATGTTGTGTGAGGGCTTTCCTTGTGCATCCTACTCTGCATTTTTACAGTAATCATTGGTTTAGCAATCTTCTACAGCAATCTTTTACTTAAACATTTCTTTCTTTTCTTTGCACAAGAATTAAGAGCAACTCAATTGAACAGATATCCAGGTTATTACAATAGTATTGTTAATCTGGAATAAGGTTAATTACACCTATGCAAATGAAGAGATCTGTCATACAAATGAAGTCACAAGGGTTGACTTATTTTGGACAATTTTTTGTTTCATTGCAGTGGTTGGCTTGGATGTTGCCTGATTCCATTTTGTATTGATGCCTGCAAAGATGTTATTCACTCCTGTCCTAACTGCAGCCGTCAAGTGGGTGTTTATCGCCGAGTGTAACAGGACACCCAACCAGTCGAAGCATAACTTCTGGGTAATGCTGTGGGGTTGTAAATTGTCATTTAAATCCTACACGTTGATTGCAAGTTTCATGTACTGCTTTGTTTAATTATCAATCACCTCAATGAAAATATTCTAAAATGTGATAATTATGGTTATCAGCAGCACATTTTTAGGACAACATATGCATCATGATTATTAAATTACACAGGTTAATAGCTTCAGGACATAAATGATCTTGCTAGTCATGTCTTTTCATTCCATGTCAATTGCATCAGCTGATATGTTTCCATTTATTACTACATTGTGCCAATAAGTATTTTTTTCCCCTTAGATTTAGTCACAATTTTTATTAATTGGTAACTTTTTGTGACATTTTAACTCTGTCTGTAAACAAACTGGGCCCAGTCAGGTGTCCTGTGCTGTCAACAGCCCAGGCCTGGTGAAAAATAATTCTTTTTGTAAACATACTGGGGCCCAGTTTTCAATGGGCAGATAACACTATTTAATGCATATGTTGTAGTTCAATTTTATCCTTGGTTCAAATTTTATTTCCTTTGTTTCAAACTAATTATCACACATTAACATGACCGAGAACAAAGAAAAATAAACTTGAAGCAAGGATAAAATTGAACTACAACATATACATAGCTATCAAGTAGCTAAGTGTTAATGAAATGTACTGCACTACTGTTCATTGTATAAAGATTGATTCAGTGGATAACATTATGTACCCTACAAACAAGCTGGGCCTTGTTATCAATAAAAGAGGCTCCATTATTCTTTCAAATCAATTATATGGTCAAACTGAATCAAACTGTACTTCATCCAAGTACTTTTATTAAATAACACATTCTTCTTTTTGTGCATACATCATGAAATCACAAAATTATCTTGCTACGTTAATTTGACTTATGGTATTGCAATGATTACCATCTTATTTAGATGGACAATTTTGTAATTGGTTAATTTTGATTAGTAGCTAGTAGTAAGAAAGTAAAGGACTAGAAGCAATGGGGAGTGAAAAGCAAAAATTGATCTCAAATTTGTATTTAATATTTACCTTGTCAAGAACAAATCGTTTGATGTAATGAAGGTCATAAAAGTCAAGCTTTGAGTTGTATTTGTTACTCTAACCAAGATGTAAACTGGTGTGTTAATCACTGTGGAAATAATCATTCCATTTTACTCACTGCACATTTGGTCTGCAAGTCTTTGTCACAAGTCTTCTAGGGTGAATCTGTGATGTAGTCAAGGGGGGTTCGGAGAATTGTCCGAGGGCATGTTCCCCTGGAATATTTGAAAATTAGGTCTTAGGAAACATGATTTCCAGCATTTTAAGGGAAAATTTAGTGGGGTTCGACCGAAATACCTGAACCACCCCTAGATCCACCCCAGGTTCTGTTATGCTGTTTAACATTACTTGAAGGTTTTAAGGAGTTTTCATTTGCAGTGTTTTCATTATTTTAAGCTTGACAGGTCTAAAGTAATCCTTTTACCTGTTGAAATTTTGAAGAATTCCAAGCAATCTTGGGCAGTAAAAAGAATTAACAGGGAAATAAATTTACCACTTACCACCCAAGAAAAATGCTGCATTTGAACACACAATATCCACACTCTTTCTGCCTTACACAACCTCCATAACTTTAATTTCCATCGCCTTTTTTAGGACTATTTTGATGTCTCAGTTTTCTGTATTTTATTATGCTAATTTTTTAATTAAAATTGTAAGAGGGTGATGGTGGAAACAGGCAGGCAGATGGCAATATTTGACTCTCATTAATCAGTTTTTATCATTAACATAACTTGCAATCTGGACGTCAGTTTCCATTTGAGAACCATCATTTCAGTACTAGTTTTTTCTTTAGTCTACTCATTAAATTTGCAAGGACTTTCTTTGACCTAAATTCAAATTCCATCTTTACCCAGGTCAAAGAAAAATATTGAAAAATTCCACGACTTTCCAGGTTTTCTGAAACTTGTATGAACCCTAAAAGGACCCACTATTACAGCTCTCAGTAGATGTGCAATGATTGCACAATCTAGTACAGATTTGCAAGTCACAATACCAACATCAACCTTGGTGAATGAGGGGTAATAATGATAATGGTTAGAATCCCTTTAAAAAAACTTTATTTTTTCCTCTCAATTTCTTAACTGCAGACTAGCCAGAATGTTGTGATCATTATGATTTAATATGATGAAGATAAACTGAACACACTAAACATGATAAGCTCAAACAAGCCACAGGAAGCATACAATGGTACTGATTCTGCTTCTAATTTTGAAGGAGATAAAACCACTTTCAAGAAAGGTCTGCAGAGTAGTTCAATAAACTTCAAAATGATACAAACATGTAAAAAATAAGCCTAAACTTATGTATACACAACTACTTCTGCCATCAACACAAGATCTGCAGGATGGAAAATTACCATACTCAAAAAGGACTTTTAAAAGAATAATCTTTGCTGACAACATGGAAGTAGTTTTGAGATTCACTCATGGTAGACAATAAATATTAACAAACTCCTTGACTCATTAAGTTTTGATCACGAAAAAGAAGTGTTAACAACAGTCCTACTAGAAGGTGGTAGATACAACATTATTAATAACTTTGAATCATTGACATTTATGCTCCGAGACCTAGAAAAGTAATTTTCCTGGCTATCTGCCAGACACTACATCACAAGACAGCTCAGACAATTTGGTGTTCAAATTACGAGCAACGATGATAAATCAATACTGTGTGGGTATTTATCTCACAGTCACTCTCATTGCATGAAAATATTGAAGCAAGAAGGAGACTTTTCAGTACAATTTTTAAGGAGCCGATAAGGAGAATTTGTCTTATAATCAAGAACTGCTTTAGTCCATGATCATTTCCTTTGTACTCACGACCTAAAAGTTTGATTCAGGGGTGATGGAATAAGAAGAAATTAGATGCAGGTCACTCCCAAGGGGATTAAATCTTGTTGAGTGGATTTTATCCATTTTCAATTTAGGAGTGACTCAAGCTTGAAAATAAATGATGCAGAAATAGTAGTTTCATATGGATATTTTTACTTCTGGGAAAGCCATGTTTGATAGACTTTTTTTTTTTTACCTTGATAACTTAATAATCCTATAGGACTGTTGATAACACTTCCCTTCCTTAAACTAAATGTACAAGTGCAAAAAAATTAATAGTAACACACAGACTATCCACTAGTTTTTAAAATTTACAGAGTATCTGAAATTTCACTTCAATATAATATGGATTGATGCTTCTCTTTGAATTTTTTACCAAACTATCACTTAAAGTGGGGTAATGGGGTCCACATTCCTTTCACAATGTCCATGACATACAAAGGTTATCATGAGAAAACTATACTCTAAATATACAATTACAGGCAGAACATAGGTGGTACATCAATGTTCTCAACTTCCTTTACCAACAAAACAAAATGCAAATAAATAACAATTTTATCAATGTTGATTTCAAAAATGTTCATAATATAATTTTTAAATTTATGATACACACATCTCCAAGACCAAAGTAAAAATAGAAGCAGAATTTTCTTATCACGTTTCACTGCCCTTATTTACATTCCCTAAATGTGATCTGATTCCACTGACGTTATATGATTTTAATGATGAAATGCGAGTTACTAGTGAAACATGATATTCCAAGAGTCAACACTTGGCCCCTATCTTATTTTTTTGAGTATAGCTACATCTCCAATTCTTTGGTTTAATAAACAAACTCTAAATCCTGCCATTAAATAAACGTCTAAGCCTTTTAAACTTTCAAGGATAATTAACAAGTAACAATTTTTTTTCCTCCATTTTCTTTTGCCAAGGAAATCACTGATAAGATTAGACAAACTAACTTACCAGCGAGTATTAGCTCAATAAACAGCTGTAGGCCAATGTGTAGAAACTAAAAACATAGATCACTAGTCAGATATACCAAATCGAATAGGCATGCTTAAGAAAGCAGATAATTTTTATCTTTGCCATTTCAAAGTATTTATAACAATTCAGTACTGATACAACCCATGCTTTAAGATCTTAAGCTAAAGATTTAGTTATGGATTTTGCCATTTTGAAAACAACGCAGTAACCAGGGTGCTGAAAATTGTCACAAAAAGCAACTGTTTGTAAAACAAAAATGTTTGAAACCCTTTTTCTAAATCTGTTGTTCAATAGATAACCCCAAGAGATGGAAATGGATGAAAGAGCTTTTGCTTTGTCACAGGTAAGTGACCAGGTTGCTAAGCACAATCATGATCGTATGGGCGATCAAATTTTCAGGAGAGTACAGATAAATTTCAAACCATCAGGTTACTCTTGAGAATCCTAAAAAAATGTTCTGAGTGAAAATTCATTCTATGTATTTTAGTGGTACAGATAAGAATTATTTGATCACTGAAGCATATTTCTCCTTTCAAAAGGTAAGAAATGTTAGATGGGATGTTCTGTTGATGAAATAAAGTGAAAATGATAACTATATGTGTAATCCAGCTTGAGTGTTTTTCACACTCCTTCAAAATAAGTACCTTTCAAACTTTGGAAATGAGAAATCCTGATAATAAGTTAACATCCTGTGCACTGAAAGCTTTACAAATTAATTCTTATCATTTAACTATGCATTTATTTTGGCAAATTGGAAAAGACCTTTGATAATAACTTTAAACGGCATTTTACAGTACTCCAATTTAAAAAATTCTTCAATAAATATGCTTCTAAAACTATTCTCTGACTTTAAACATTCACTTTCAAATAACTACTAACAGTAACTTTACTTTTTGGGTGAACAAAATATTTCTACATTGTCCAGAGGATTACTTTTCTGTTGCATTCTGTGTCTGGCTGTTCGTTTTGCTGCAGCCAACCTTTGTCGTGCTGCTGCTCTCTGCTCAGCCTCAGAGGCTTTCACTTCTTCTTTTGATTTTTGCCTTCTTATTGAACCTTTTCCCACTGATGATTGCCTTGTTAGTGAGGACTGACGTGTTAATGATGATCGTTTTGAAAAATCAGTCTGTAGAATCAAAGTATACTCACACATAAATACAACAAAGTTAGGGCCAAACATTTTCACAGCAAGATTTAGTTGAAGAATAATCTTTTTCACCCTGAGGTACTGACACGATTATTGATAATATTTTACCTCATCAGTGGAAGACTGTGGTAGTATCCATCCATTTTTACGTAGATCATCAATCTTGGAGAACATGCTATTAACATCATCGACCTACAAAAGGGAAAATGATCTCAATTTTATTTAGGTAATAGAAATGCAATGTGCATGTATCAGGTATGGTGCATGCAGCAAGATTAATTTGAAATGAGATGTGGTTCTCAACTAAAACTGGTATTAAACTCCATGTAATCCTATTACCATACAAAAAAATACTCAGAATCTTACCTGAATCATAACCATATCCCAGAAACCTGCAAGATCCCCATTTGTTGGCCTTCTACCATTTGTTTCACCATCACCCTAACAAAATGAATCATGAAATATACTATCAACCATTCACCACTGTTAATTTCCAAGGCTCTGTTGTTTTGACTTGGTGTTTTTTTTTTTGGTCAACTTCACTTGTGAATAAAATTAGTCTTAACACCAAAAATGACGACAAACGTTTTCCCACTGAATCCGTCATGGAGCTTACATTGGGAGCTAATATTGATTTTAACTTCAGGGAGGGAGTGGGGAATGTATGGGTAGCCCTGAAAAGGACTATTGTTGCAAACACACACGACTGTTGCTTTGAAAACCTACACATAAGTAGAAGTCATCATCAAAGTCAGGTGGAGAGTAATTTGTCCGTAAAATAAAATTATCCCTCCACACTCTGGACGATCAGCTACAAGCTTGAGTGTTTCCCCTGGGTTTTTACCCCTCTACTGTAGAGCCTGTACTATAAATTATATTTAATTTGTATACAAAGCTTACCAAATTTGTATCACATAGTCCTTTGAATTGCTTGAACTTTTTATTGACCAGAAGCTTGGCCTTCCCATTGGCTGCTCTAATTTTTCCACATGCTTGGAGAGAAAGACAGAGAGACAACATATGTACAAAATGTTAAAATTGCTAACAATTTCATTTAACACTGGTTTGCTATATATAAGGTGTTGTAAATTCAAACAAATTTAACCTCTCTCTTTGAAACTACTCAAAGAAAAGAGTAAAACTGTGCAGTAAAAAGGATTTTTGAATTTGTGTTTGTGATTGTCAGAAAAAAGTTGATACAATTTTACGAAATTAAATTTCTGTCTAAACAAAAGAGTAGAAAATATTGAATCAATAGCTTTCTCAATATGTGCTGCAATACTCAGCTTCTAACAAAAATGGAGGAAACAAAAAACCACAAGGGAAAAAAAAATTTTTAACACCACAATAATTATAACAGGCTATATTTAATTTAAATGAATAAAGGCTGATAGTTTCTAAAGAAACTGTTTGGGGCTGCGTTGGTGGGGGTAACGAAATAATTTAGATATATCAACAGAGTTGAAATGGTAAATTGGCCACCATAACGATTACAAAAACTGACGTTTCGAGC